ACACAATTTTTTTATGAGAAATAATATTTTTTAATAAACCCTTTTTCATTCGACATACTTTATCTTAATCGAGATATTAATAAGGAACCAGCAGATCAAGTAGCTTTTGGAATAAAACACCAATTTTTTTAAAATTAAACACTATCTAAAGATTTGCATCGAAGCGTTTATTTTTGATAGTGATTTTAATCACTGTCAGATATCATTATACTTGATCCAACTATACCACGTCACAACTGTGCCGTGACCCCCCTGTGCTGGGTTTTTTTTTTTTTTGTTAGGGTTGCTTTTTGCAAATAGAAGATAAAGTGTTGGAATAATTTTTTTTTAACTTATAGCAAATATCATAAACATTAATTTAACATATGTTTAAATCCCGGAGTATTTCCGGAACATTTTTAAAAGTGAAGTTAGAAAAAAAGTGCAATAAGTATGTTTGAACCATAGTAATTGAACTCTTTATCCTCAGTGACTGTAAATCGAATTTCCCAATCTAGTAATTGTACAACGCACTTCTAAAATTATGAAATGAGTAATTTTTCAAATAAGTTAACTTTATACTCAATGTAGATTTTATGTACATAACATTTAGGAACCTCATCACTGTAGCGTCTAATTTGTATGATATTTTAAATTAAAGTAAAATAAGTATTTTAAATAAAGTGTGTATACCACTTACAAAAAAAAACAAAATTGTATTGATACGTAAATATTTTAATAAATTATGGCGATGTAGAGTTAAAAAATTTCTTACTATAAAAATAGCTTGTTTGTTTAACTACGACAGTAATATGTAAACAAAAAACCGTCGGGACAAATTGTCTTTTTTAAATATATAATACGTAATAAAATTACGTAATTAATGGTTATAATATAAGCTTTAATTTAACATAATATGTTAAATAAAAGTGTTACAATAATAATGTGTTAAATTTTAATCAAATTACATTTAATTAACATATTATTTCTGAAACATTTAAAAATATTAAGTTAACTTTTGTATAAAAGTTGCTATTTTGAATACCCCGTAGGTAGGTAAAAAGTTAGATTTTCAAAAAGTTTTGTAGTAAATAGCTGAGGAAGTATTAAATAACGTTAATATTAGTATAATATAAGTTTTACCACAGTAATAAGCAATTTTTAAATTCTTAAGCAATATAATAATGCTCATATAAACAGAAAGTGCAGGGTAAGCAAATTAATAATGGCGGGGAAAAGAATATATAAAGGGAAACATGAAAAGTATAGGAGGATTGACGTTTTGACGAAGACACGTCGAGTTACGGGTCAAGACGTTTGGTGCGAGTAACTTTGTATTTTGTATGACTAATTATAGAGGAATTTCACCATATGAAGTGTTTGCAAAGATATTGCTGAAGCGGCTAACACAGTATATAGAAGACAATTAAGGTAGATACCAGTGTGGATCCGAAAAGGAGCATCAACAATTTAAAAACTTGCAGTCGTAGGCCAGATAATAGAAATAAGTATGAATACCACTAAAAAATATTGGAATTATTTGTCAATTTTAAGAAACTTATAATAGTACACACCGGGAGTTTGGTTGGAGACACGGAAAGAGCTGTATTTTAAAACAGGCTGCCATCAAGTTAGTACTGAAAATCAGTAGCAAAAAAACAAACTTAATGGAATTATTGGTCAAGCAAATTTTTAGGATAAGAGTGGTCAAATCCAAGCATTTGTGATAAAAACGAGGAAAAAGAAGAAGAATGAAATTATTGGACGATGAAGACAGCATTGATGCTACAGCTCTATTGAAAGAAAACTCATGACTTTTAAGAATAAAATATAGATAATAATTAGACATAAAAAAAAAAAATACATCATAGTAAAATTAATACTTTTTCAGCTTTGCATTGAAACTAAAATTTTATCTATCTATACATTTTTCAAAAAATATAGCAATAAAATGTAGAAAATATAAATTAAAAAATTATAACATAAAAATAGCATCTTTTTAAATTATGGCAGCCATTATCATAGAAAATAAGGTGTTAGAGAATTTTTTTTTACCTATAATATGTAACATGAACTTTAATTTAACATATATTTAAAGGACGCAGTATTGTAAAAAAATACTTTAAAGTAAAAAATAAAATAATACTAATAGTGGTTGATATACAATAATTTGACAAAAACATGAATTGTATGGCATTAAAAAAAAAGAGTAGAAAAAGATAATAAAACTGTATAATTATATTATTATAGCAATTTAATATTATCAACGCCAGTTAATACAATAAGTAAAACATATTTTATGACAATAAAGTCATGAACGTAATCACATAATAAATAATCACAATTAGAAAAGCCGTAAAACGTAATAATTTCATGAGACATAAAAATGTAATTTAAGGAAATAATTCATTATTATTGACTGTTTTAAAAATGTTTTTCATTTTCCTGAAACTTCTTTTTGGTTTATAGTTGCACATGATTTATTTTCTTTTAAACTAATCCAGGGCTGTTCCACCGCATATTATTTTCTTACAAATTGTTCTGATGACAACTACACGATATTATGCCAGTTGATACTCGTGTCGCTGACTACCTGCGTCATCGTAAATTTTTTATTATTTACTGGCAAGGTATTATCTGTATTTATTGCCGTTCGATGATTTTCTTTCTAACAAAGTTTCGTATTTTGTTATACTTTGAAATAAAGATCTTTGAACACGGGTTGATATGAAATTGCTACTTTAAATACTTCACTAGCTAGGTCAATTTTGAAATATTCCCTTAATTCCCACAGTAAAGCTAAATGTCTCAAATAATGACAATTGATATAAAATAGTCATTGCTGACATTTCTAGTTTTCACATTATACTGAAATAACTTTATCAAAAACGGGATCATTGGGAAGTATTTATTTTGGTAATAATTAAGACATTCAACTCACCGATATCATACTTCTTTTGGATATCCAATCATTTACCAAGGTACTGTAGACACTTAAAACCTATATTCATTTTTTGATAATGTTTCAAAAAACCTGCCTTCTTTAACCTGTATTAGATTAAAAATAATACAATATACTCTAAGACATAAAAAGAAAAACTATACAAAATCTCATTTTCTTTATTCAATGGAACATCTACTTCGTTCAAAACAATTAAATCATAGATCATTTAATATGCTATATGGTTAAAAAAAAAACTTTACGATGACTTGACTTTTATAAGTAAATTTTCCTTTTAAAATCGAGAAAGTCTCGTAATTTCTGGTGGAAATATTAATTTTTTAAGTTTGTTTCAAGTACGAAATGATGAATTTTACGAAAGTGATTTTAATTACTAACAAATATCAATCTATACTAATCTAAAAATGTCTCAACTCACTTTTTGGGATCCCTACTGTTTATTACTTTTTATAATTGAAAATGTACTTCAATGCTCTAATTGAGTTACTTTTTACGATTGAAGATCGTTCAAATAATTTTTAGATGTATCAATTTGATATATATCAATATCTCGAGAAAGTATCGATTCTGAAGGAACGAGTAATAGTAGAGAGATGATCATATTAAATGTAACATCATTATCTACATGTTTACATGGGTGATTTTAGAGAAAACAAATTTTAAGAAAAGATTCTATTTTTTAATAAATAATAATGATCATATATCTCAACATAATATTGGCGAAAAAATACGATCGTTTCTTAAACAAAAAATATAAATTAAAAATGAAACATTACTATTGCTAATATACGTAGCATTATTGCATATGAAAAATTTTACTTAGAAAAAGAGGAATTGCCAGCAAAATTCATGTCATTAACATATTTTGTGACATCATTATTCAAATAATATTTTGTTAAAAATATACTAATAATTTAAACATAAAATAAATTTTGATAATCACATTTACTAAAAAAATAAACAGTAATATATTTACTAGTATTTTGAATAAAATTCTTAGATTTATATTTAATCATTATATTATTCTATGTATGTAATTGAACATTTATGTTTTTGGGTCATAAGTAAGTATAGCTACATAAATTTTACTTGCACGTTTATAAAAATTTAGTATTATATTTTTTATCCTACGTACCATTTTGATTATCTAAAATGTATTTTAATTGTTTCTTTGAGATATTAATTACGCTCTTACTGTGTTCACTTTCACATAATTTACTATCAACTCCTACTGATAATCACATATATTGTCTGAATAAAATACTGGCGAAAATTGACATATGGAATCGTTTTTCAAACGTTATTGTTGAAATAAAAAATAAAAAAATTAGCATTTCAAATTTGTTTAGCAATATTGAATATAAAAAATTTGATTTAGAAAAAGAAAAAATACCATCAGAACTTGTGTCATCAAAATATCTAGCTGTGAATGAATACAACTTCAAAATAAAATTATTAATTGTACACCTTATGGTTCGATGTAAGTATTTAGAAATAATTAGAAAATTCTTTTATCTTGCATTAAGTTTGACAAATGAATATCAAAAAGAACAAGTTAGTTTAGGTTTTGGAGATAATAACAAAAAACACAACCTTTCGGAAGATTTAAATGTAGACGATTACGCTATTGATGACCAGTATGAAGAATCTATAACGGATGTAGAAAACTATTTCAACGATGTTGAAATTTGCTTTATACAGAATGAAAATTTACAAAATATTAATGCAAGCATTTGTGATATTAAAAATTTACTCATAGAAAAAATAATAGCTTTTAAAAATGTGTTAGCTAATATGATAAACGTTGTTCGATCTTTAAATATTTTAGCTGAAGATGATTTGTTCTTGCAAAATATGTCAAAACGTTTTTTAAAAGAGCTAGTAAAGCAATATACTATGGAACCTGTCGATGCTGATCATATTAGTATATCTGAGCTAACAAAATGGATTAAAACATTTAATAGAAATACATATAATGAAGGTATGGGTAATGTTTGTACTTTTGTTAAATGTAAAAATAACAGATTAAAATCTGAATATAATAAAAAAAAACGTTTAAATCCTAACATAATGAGTTATGCTTCATTTATTGGTTCGAAAATTGACGAATTATTTGAAATCACATTATTATATTTTATAACTCCTTTTCATATAAATTAATTTTATTTAATATAATTCTCATTTTGCTCACTTAATATTACATTTCTATTAATGATTATTGTAATTATTTTTAATTAAAAATAAGCTAGTTAATAATGTTAATAATTCTACCAAATAAAGAAATAAAATTGTTACTTTTCTTGTTTAATCGTCATATCATTGTGTATAACTTGTAACGTAATAAAAATACCATAAGTAAATGGTCACAAGTCTTCTTCTTTTTCCTCACCTCAATCTCGTCAACCGCCCAATACTCTGAACCATACATCATAACTAGACTCATAGTAGTCTTGTAGAACTTATCGTTCAGTCTCATTTGAATTCTTTTATCGCGTAACACAACAGAGGCTTCTATCCACTTCAACCACCCGCATTTAATCCTGTGCCTTACATCCCCGCCAATACCACCATTTTTTCAAAACTAACCCTAAATTTTTAAAACTTTCAACCTTTCTTATTACATCCCCGCTTATTATCATTGATCGTAATTCACCTACCTCGTGTTCTCCTTTATCAAATTCGTACTCTCTATACTTTGTCTTATTCCTACTTATTCTTAAACCATTTTCTTCAAGAGTTCATCCCCACACCTCTAGCCTTTGATTAATTAAAAAAACCGCATTTATTTAAAACTAACTATTAACAAAAAATAAACAATCAAGCTACACAACTCAAGTAATAGCGATCAGTATAAAGTACGCCTTCGCTGCCTTCATAATTATCTTTATTTTCTTTTGTTACTCTATTATTCGCAATAATTATTGCCTACTAGAATGACATTTATTGTACACTGCATAACTGGTTAAGTTTTTTCTATTATTTCTTTCCTAACCTTCTGAATTTAATATATTGATCATTCAATGGCGTTCGTAACTGTATTGATTTAATGTTATCAACTGTGATCAAAGATTTATATATTAAATTTCCAATTCTAAAGTTAGTTAATCTTCAAAGGTGAACATAACCTTCGTGTTATTAACCGTGATCAAGACAACTGGCTTCTTCTCTTAACCCTTTAATCTTTTGCAACGGTGATCGTTATAATACGTTACCAACCGTGATCCAAAGAGTTATACTTATATCTTTACTTAATTTAATTAGTTCCTAAAATAAAACTGATATGATAGGTAATTATTCATTATAGATATTTATGTTTCTTTTTTAAATAAAACGAAATAAGCTTAAGTTTAAGAAAAATTGTGTTGTGCTTTCATCAATCTCTCTTTAAAACACTTCCTTGTCTATTTCTTCACATTTTACTTATGGTGCATAGGCACTTATTACATTCAATATTTTTTACTGGAAAATCAATTTTACGACTATAATTCTGTCACTTTTCCTAGCTACTTCTACTACTTTACTTTTCATCTCCTCATCCATTATTATTCCTACACCATTCTTTGTATTAGATTTACCCTAGTATATTATTTTATAGCCCTTACATATTTCCATTTTTTTTCTCTTCCACAATCCTTCAACTAATTCTCTACTTATACTAGTTAATGTTCCAACATTCCACATACCTATTTTTACTTTGTATCTATCTTTCTCCCTTAAACACGAGTTCAGCCTATAGTCGAGTGATGATGTCCCTACACCGTCAACAGTACAAGCGTTGGGTAGACCTGTATAAATGACTGATGAAACAGCTACCGCACAAGTTGTCCTGCTTATTATCAAACACTTTATTCCTAAGGCATTCTCCATTTTTTACTACTTTATTTCCTCACACCTGTTGTTTCCGCATACATTCGAGATGGTACAATCCGCTTAAGTTTTGTTCAGGACTCCTCATACTTTTTGACAAAAAATTTTAAACCAGATGTCGACTCGACGCAACTTTATTAGTCGCGTCTTACGACTGACAGAGGGGCCGTGGAATTATTCTTATACCTTATCCACAAGGACATGAGGCCTTAAATCGTTACTAAATAATCTATACAACAAGTAAATTTATTAGATGGTTATTTTACAATTTAAACGAAAAAACCTTGTTTTGGTAAAAAATCAAAAATGTTTTATATTAAGTTTAAATAAAGTTTGCAAATTGTAAGTATACAAAAATAAAAATTATTTTAAAATTTAATAGATTTTTTATCATACATATAAACTAATAAAATCGGCCCAATAAAACATAATTTTCATTGATAGTCGTAAAAAAACGCATATTATGGTAAAGTCAATACCTTGTCAGCATTGAATGGAAGTTAAAATAATATTAACATCCTTATACGGTATAAGGGATGAACATCAAAAATACTATATAAATAATAAACTGAGAAATACATGTACTTAAATGAAACTAATAAAAAAAGTTTAATATTACATTTATTTTTTGATTAATTAAGTGATTTATAATAAATGACTCACTCCAGATAAATGAAAATTAAAAATTAAAAATCTTTAAATTTAAACTAAAAAACATTATTGTGTCCCGTTTTGTGTAACTTTAAACAAAAACAACACTTAAAACTAGAATTTACATTTAAATATTTATAAAAAGTTTTTGCACAAATCATCATATATTTAATGCATTTCTCTCCAACATATTGGCAAAGAGTATTTGCTAATTTATTATGTAAATTATAAACCTTGTTTGTATCATTTCCTGCTAATTTATACTTCTCTTCAATATCTTTTAGTGTCGCATAAATATTACAACCATTCAAAAGAAAATTTCCTTAAAAAAACAAATATTACAATAGTTTATTTGTAACTTTTTTTTACATTGAAAGGCGAATTTAATATAAAATAATTAGTGTATTAAAACTACTCAAAAATATAAGAGCTTATTCTAAATAAATAAATAAGGGGTTTTGACTGTTTTGATTAATATAATCTATTTACAGTAACTATGTTGCATTTAAATCCATAGAAATAAATTGAATTTAATAAAAAATATGTTTTAAATATTCAATTTATCTTAATAGAATATTTCATGGTTTTTTGATTTATAAATACATATTATTTTAAACTTTTCTATAGCACATAAATTAATACTCTTATAATGATTAGCAACAAATATTACTCTAAGTAAACTATTTTCAAATTATTAAAAAAAATAATTTTTCACAATTATTTTATCGAATTTAATTTAACAAAGATCATTTATCAAAATGGAATTATCTGTTTATAAAATAATAATATTTAATTAATTTATAAATTATAATAAAATTACTTAATTAGTATACAGTGATTATGTATACGTTAGTGGTCGATTTTGTCTTTGTAAAATAATTATTATATGAAAATTATTTTTTATATTTTTAATTTAATATGTTTCTTATTTATCAGTTATTAAGTGCTGTGAAAATTATTAGGATTTTAAAATATAGACTGGAGATGAAGGGCAGATACTGTTATTTTTATTAGACACATCTCAACAGCATTCCTCCTCTCGTCAAGTTATAAAAACGTCTTCTGAAGTTCAGATCCGAAAGTTGTTATCGACCACTCATTTATCAAAATAGATAATTTTCTATTTTAATATTTATGTTGTCATTTAATAAAAAAAAGTTGGCAACCGTATGATATGTAAGGAGTGAACCGAAAAAGTACTTAACGATTAATCATAAAATATATGTAACTAAAAAAAGGTCAAAAATATATTTGTTTTTTAAGTAACTGAGTGGGTTATTATCAGGGCTCATAGCTTATATATTATGATAAGTACTTGTTTTTATCGCTTTTATATCTACCAAAAAAAAATTAATGTTTAGAATAATGCCATGAAAATATTTTCAATTTTTTAATATTAGTTTAATACTTAACGAAAATCTACCCGTTCATCATTAAAATGTAATATAAGATTTTTAACAAACACATAAAAAAATGTACTCACATATTTATCTTTCATAATATTTTTACTGGAGATAACCAAACATATAATGAAGAAAATTTAGCTAAATTAAAAACATATATTTCCACGTGCTTCATGAAAAATTATTTATTTAAAAATGTAACCCCTTTGTACTTCTAAATTAAGACGAATTTAAAAAATGATATTAAAATTGAAATCAATGAAAATTATTTTTTTAAATGACATTATACATATTTAATTAGCTATAAAATAGAATATAATATAATTAAGAAGATTGCTTTTTAATAACAACTTCTGAGTATTTCGGAAGTTATTGACACTTTATATCTTGGCCGGAGTAATATAGTGCACGAAATGTATAAAAAATATAATTACTAAAAATAATTTTCCTAACATAAAATTTATGTTCAGAAAACATTCGATAGGTTTGTGTTAGAAGAACCGACTCTATAGGTAATAATATACTTAATAAATCACACTGTATGTCAGATAAATAAAATTGAATTTACGTGTTTGAGGTGTCAATTCTGTACAGGTGGGTGGACCGGACTCACGGTGAGATGACTTATCGTCTCACCCAAGTGATGTCCGGCCACGGCTGCTTTAACGAGTACTTACACCGTATTCGTAAAGCAGCCGCGCCGACGTGCGACCACTGTTCGGATCGCCCGGGAGAGGCTGATAGCGCTTTGCACACCCTCTTCCGGTGCGAGGCGTGGGCCCAGGAACGGGACTCTTT